AGTTTTAAAATTAACATTTAAAAAAAATTAAATATACTAAATTAATGTGAAATATATATTTAAAATTATTTAAAATAAATTAATTTCAAAATATATAAAAATTCACTTGAAAACAACTTAAATGCCTAAAAAAATTAGTAAGTTACTAAAAAGACAAACGCGAAAGAAATTTAATATATAATAGCATAAAGTGGTGATTGCACTCTCATGCCATTCTTTGGGCTTTTACCACGTAAGTCAGACCATGATGAAGGTGATTCTAATTTTTGTTGACCAAGATTTCAGCTTTAACCATTTTGTGAGTTTCATTTTTTTTTTCAGGTTTTTTTACTTTACCTTGAATTTATGCCATGGTTAGAAAGAAAACTTCATAACTAGAATTTACTCGTGAATGTGGTTTATGGGTGGGTGAAAGCAGTATTATTTATCACCTATTTAGTTAAAATTTGAGAGTTTTTTATCTTATTTTTTTAAAATTATAATAATTAAAAAAATAGAATTTAATCGTCATCAATAAATACAAAGGCATTCTTTTAAATCTTTATATAATTTAAAATTAAAAAAAAAAACTTAAATTCCAAAAACACCTAAAAATAGAATTATTACTACATTTTAATTTGATAATACCACACTTTAAAATGTAGAGTACACTTTTACCCATAATTTTAAAAACAATATTTTTCTTTTTCAAAACTACCCCACAGCAGCGTTCTCTCCTTAAAAATTATATATACATATATATATAAACTATCCTTTTTGTCTTAATTTTTGCTCAGTTCATTCCGGTAAGATATCATCTATTTTTCTATGTTGTTTTTATGTTTTTTCTTATTTTAATTATAAATTACACAATATAAAGTAATCATTTCTTATTTCTTAAATACAACTCAAATTTAAAATATTTATTTTCATTAAAAAGAGATTAGTATTGAACTACATATTTATTAGCTAAATTTTTTTATGTTAAAATTAAAACTCTTGTACTTTTTTGTGAGTTGTTTAATATATATGATTGGATTTTTTTTTTTGTTGTTAAAATTATTATTTTACATTGCAGAAAAATAATTATTCTGGCCTGCTTTGATTAATAAAAATATATCTTTATATGTTTATACTTTTAGGAGTAAGGGAAACCGAGCGCATGGGTCGAAAACCAAACCCTCAGCGGCGTTCACACCTTTTGGTACAGGGTGCGGCCATTCAATCCTTCTCGCGGAGGACTTGTCTTCGGTATTATTAGCTGTTCGTTATATCGATTACTCGACTCTAGAAGGAGGCCCATTACCGCTTCTGTAGATATGGACATCTTGTTCCCAAGCCCAAGTCTTCAACAAGTTAAAAGAATTTTAGTAAAACATAAAATAAATAACCCCCGTTTCTTTTCTGCTCTCATTTTCTAATAATTAAATAGAAAAATTGTTTCCCTTACACTGAAATCAAACATTATACTTAATCATATGATAATGTTGAGAAAATAAAATTTTTAAATGACGTTGGAACATCTAGATCTAGTCCTAACTTTGATTTATTAATTTTTTTACTTTAGTGAATTTAAAAAGTTACTCGGTTCCTAATATGGTGTTCTCATTCCGTTCCTATTTAAGGAAAAAAAAAGAAGAATAAAAGCAAAGCAAGCATCAACAGGTTATATGTAAAAAAAAAAAAAAAAAAAAAATCCAAGATTCAGTATCCGATGGATAAACAGAAGGACAATATATCAACTATATCAAATTATTGGCCTACGCAAGGGGCAATGAAATTGTTCCCGGGAAGCACGCAGGCATCTTGCATCTGCAAACTAATAATCACATATACAAAAGGTATAAATTCAAGTATCCTCACCACCATCTGGACATTGTTGCCATATCCATTCCAAGTGATCAGGCTTGAGCTTTGCTAAATCCCTCCTCATCAATTGTTTGTTAAAGTTGTCGGCTTCTTTCTCCTTTTCCTTGAATTTGCTACTAGCAACTGCAGCTCTAGCTCAAGCTACACAAACTCGAGTTTTCAGCTGGAGCTTGACCTTCGGATGGAGCTGCAACTTGAGCTTCAACTTTATCTTCAGCTTTATCTTCAGCTCCAGCTCCAAATAGAGCCTGCCGCTGCCGGACTGTAGCTCTCCATAAAGCAAGTACAGCTCCAGATTTAGCTTAGCTCTTGCTTCCGCATCAGCTCCAGATTTAGCTTTAGCTCTTGCTCTTGCCTCAGCTTCAGCTTTTGCTCTTGCTTCCGCATCAGCTTGAGCTCTAGCTTCAGCTGAAAGTACAGATAGAATCTGATGCTGACGCTGACGCCGATGCCGAGCTTCATCTTCTGCAGCTTCAGCTTCGGCTCTGTCTCTGTCTCTGTCATGGCTCCGGCTTCGGCTCCGGCTTCAGCTCCGGCTTCGGCTTCGGCTTCAGCCCAAGCTCCATATTCATCTTCATCTTCATCTTCATCTTCATCTTCATCTTCCTGCTGTCATAGTATCTTTTAGCTTCACATATCGCTAATGAAGTCGGAAAATAATCAATTAAAGAGAAAAGAAATAATTCAATACAAAAAAGAGCTTGGAAGAGAGGGGCTTCAGTTTACTGACTAGATACCTTCACAAAACTGTTCTAGCTAAGTTCTTGCTTGCTTCCTAGTCCGGAGCTCATCAGCGGTGAACTTCCTCAGCTCCACCTGCAGTGGTGCCCGTGATGAGGCCTCCTTATCATGAGCAGCCTCCCTCGTTTGTATTTCCGTAGCCAGTGCAGCAATTGACTGATGGTAATTCTGCCCAGCCTCATCCATAAACCCACTAATTGGGGGACAAGTTGGAGTAGTACTGTGAGCAATTGCAGGCCTTTGGACCATATGGGCTCCATCCAGTTCTTCCTCTCTCCTCTTTAATTCCCTTGCTCGCTCAAATGGGGTTCCCATTGCTGTCACATTCAAAACAAAGGAGTTAACCCACAAAAATTAAGGCAGCAAAGTTGCGACCCCACGTGGGCTGGCAAAGTGCGCCAAAATGCCTTGGCCCATGCCAAGGTTCAACTTACTGTAACAACAATTGTAAAATCCCCACTTCCCCAGACCTAGTTGAATTCACCATACCTCCAAAGCTACTTGAATTCACGGCAGTGACACCCTCTATTCCCACTCTTTGAATCATTTTACTTTCAAGGTTCTGCAGGTTAAGAAAATGTTAAAACACTAGCAGTTCTATAATTAGAAATTTCAAAAGTATAAATGCAACATTACATGTATATATACCTCCTCCAAAGTTGCCCACATAATAAGTACTTCAAATACAGATAAGAGATGGATTCAACGAAAAATAACATTTACTTTAAGTCACTTAAATGGAGAATGTTATAAAGGAATCATTAATTATAACCGCTTAGTTAGTAGTAGATGTAATCTTAAGTTTTACTGAGGAGCAGAGAAGATCTGAAATTCGAGGAGAAGTTTTTGCAATTTTACTTGACGAATTTGAACTGTGCAACTGTTAAGATTAACTCTTTTATTTTTTTTCAATTATTTCCATTATATTTGGGTCTTGAGGTTGCTTTATTGGTTTTTTTTTTTTTTTTGAGAATTAGGTAAATAGGAAAGTGTTTTAAT